ACATACACACACACAGATATGGCCTTCACCTTTTATCTTACGTAATTTGTCCTTCGAATTGGTTACATACGCGTATACCCGTCATCTAATAGCTTCGTCTATTTATCAACAACTTTTTCGATAGTCGATTCACATCACATCATGATTATCTCTCATTTATGGCATACATATATTATACAATTATTATGCAACAATGTTTCTTTGTGATTACAAAGAAAGAAACTTCTTCTTCTTTTTTTCTTTTTCTTCTTCATAGATAAAAATCATCATTCTTGCATTATTATTTTCATAGCAACGCGTTGAAATCGTTACGTCGCGAAAAACTTCGATCGATCGATTGATCGATCGATCGTTCGTTCGTTCGTTCTCGTTTTCTCGATCTATATTAAAAAATTCGAAAAGATTATACGTACGTATATGTGTATATATATTTTCCTTTTTTTGTTCTATTTTTTTTTTTTCTTCTCCACCAAAGACACATATCTTATTTACCGAACAAACAGGTATTGCTTGTTTCTTTTTTTTAGATAATTAAACTAGGTGAGTTTTGTTCGGTTGTAAATAATTATGCATGCTCGTACTGTTAGATATTTTTTTTTCTTTTTTGCAATTTAACAAACAAAACGACGAATCGTTATATCTATGTATGTATATGGAAAATGCAAAAGTAAAAAATAAAAAAAAAAGAAAAAAAAAATAAAATAAAATAAAATAAAATAAATAAAAGGAAAAGGAAGCGGAAATATCGTTGCGATTTAAAAAATAAAGAAATAATGCAACCCATTACAGTATTCTTATGGTAATATATATATATAAAATATATATATATATAAAATATATATATATAAAATATATATATATATAATATATAATATAATAATATAATAAATATATATAATATATATAATAAATTAATTCATGCCAGCATCACAACGTTATATTCCGAATCTATAATTTCATTTCGTAATGCAATGTAATTATTCGTCGATTGATTTTCAATAACATCGAATCGATCGGTTTTTACTTTCTTTAATTTCCTTCCGAATGAGAACAAATAATTTTTGTTGGAATGAAATCGATCTTGTCGTCAATTACGGATTAAAAAAAAAAATGATGACGAGATGATACAGTTTAGATATTTAAAAGACAAAGAAGACTAAAAAAAGAAAACCGAACGATTCGTTCTGTGAATATTTGCACGATAATTTGGGCTGTAGCTAGTTGACTGAGTCCGGATTTATTGTTTTGTGTTGATTGGATTGCATGCAGTAGATACACGGTTGAATGGTTTTGGTTTGGTTATAAAAAATTTGAATTTGAGGTGAAAAAACGAAAAACTAAGAAAGGAAGAAAAAATTAATAGAAAAAAAAAAAAGAAAAAAAAAGTAAACAAATAAATAAGAAAAAAAAAAAAAGAAATAAAAATAGAAATAGAAAGAAAAATTATTATTTCGTTGTCGCCGGGCTCAGTCGTGGTCAATGACGAAGGAACGGTATAACCGTGGTTATCAGTGATATCGTTGTCAACAGAAGGACGTAATCAGGATTTGGACATCAGCAAAGTTGGTGTGAGGGTAATGGACGAACTCGTGAAACCATTGAACGAGGTCCAAATCGACGACACGGAGTTTGCTTGTCTCAAGGCTATCGTGTTTTTTGATCCAAGTAAGTAATAGAACACTATCGGAGAAGGAAATAAAAAAAAAAAAAAAAAAAAAAAAAAAAAAGACAAAAAAAAAGACAAAAAAAAAAAGAAAAAAAAATTGTTAATTCCATCATCGGCATACCGAGGACGACTTCTTTAAAGTCTAAATGACGATAAATTAAATCTAATTGAGTACAATATCATATATATATATATATATAAAATGCTCCTCAGAGATATATATATTTTTTTTATTATATATGTGTATATATGTATATATGTATATATATTATTGTATATATACAATACTTGCAAGATTATAATAGAAAGGAAATGTTAATATAATCGTATATTTTTACTATTTCTTTTTATATAGACGCGAAAGGTCTAAGCGAGCCAGGAAGGATAAAACATCTACGTTATCAGATACAAATAAATTTGGAGGATTATATAAGCGATCGTCAATATGATAGCCGTGGTCGTTTTGGTGAAATACTATTAACGTTACCGGCATTACAATCAATTTCTTGGCAAATGATCGAACAGATTCAATTCGTTCGATTGTTCGGAGTAGCCCATATAGACAATCTTTTGCAAGAGATGTTATTAGGCGGTGCGGCTGCCGAATTGAACGGGAATTCTACCCCAATGCCAATGTCAAATGCTCCTGGAAGTTATGTAAGCAGTAATGAGAGTCCTAGCAGTCCATTGACACCTGCCAATGCCGGTGGTGGTCCATTGAGTCCACAAGATCATATGTTAGCGGCTGGCAGTCCCGTCATTATTCTTAGGGATCTAACACCTATTTCATCGCAGGAAGACGTGACTACCGTCGCTGGTTTTAGATTATTCAAACAGGAACCCAGCCTTGAAACTGAATCAACATTCTGACTAGACGAAGAAGAAACCTGATCATGACCAATATAGAATTCTATTACCATTGATTCGAACAAAATTCGTTTTATCAAGAAAAATATGATTATGCCTTTCATTATTGTTATTATCATTATTACTATTTTATTATTATTATTATTATTATTATTATTATTATTATTATTATTAAGATTATTATTATTATTATTATTATTATTATTATTATTATTATTATTATTATTATTATTATCATCATCATTATCATTATCGATCATCTAATTTCATTTTAATCCTGTAGCTTATATAGATTTACTATAGGATTGATACGAAATTCCGATAACACTTTAATTATCATTTTAAAATCATAGGTGAACCAACTGATAGAACCTACCCTCCCCTCTCTTCCTCCAATCGACTGCTGCATAGATATAACGGGCAAAATATTGGATCGTACTTTATAAGATGCACGACTTTTTCTTTACATATATTTTTTCTATACATACATACATACATATACATATATATATATGTTTTTTTTATTATTATTACTCTTTCTTTTTTAATTATTTTTTCATATTTTTATTTGCATTTGTTATATACCAAAAGCAAGAAAAAGAAAAAAACATTGATATAAACACTGAATATATAGAAAAAAAAAAAAAAAAAGTAATTATTATTCCATACTTTTAAACTTTTAAAATATCGCGAAAATAATAAAAATATGTTACACGAGAAAAGATTAGTTTCCTTACAATCACAAATATATAATATCCATATTTTACTTATTCATATTTGATAATATTTGATATCTGATAGGGCCTTCCTATGAATATTTTCTTTTTCAAACGTCGATTGCAAGTAACTAGTGAAATTAAATAGTAAATGAATAGCAAAGGAAAGGGATTGATTGACGGTCAGACGGATAACAAATTGATTACCTATGATTTAAATAAATAACATTACAAATTGTCAATTAAATAATAATTAATATTTAAAGTGTTATCAGATTTTTTATGGACCAACCTTATTGATCGATATGAAATATGAAATTTCATTACGTACATGTATATATATATGTGAAATTTCCTTATAAATATATACGATATATATATATATAGAAAAAAAAAAAAATATATATATATATAAGAAGTATATATATATTAGAAAAAGGCTTAGAAATTTATTACTATAGATCATTTAATTATATTTACTTTTTTTATAAGCGTTGAATCATGAGCTAGATGATGTCTTCAAGTTTGCCTTCCAAAAAAGGAAAAGAAACAGAAAAAAAAAAAGAGAAATGAAAAGAAAAGAAGAAAAGAAGAAAAAATATAAAAAAAAAAAGAAAAAAAAAATAAGGAGGAATAAATGAATTAAGGAATGGTTACTTCGAATCGGAGAGATAAAAGTTACGTACACATATACATACATACATATACGACGAGATTATCAATCAGAATAATCGAACAACGAAATTGTTTATCTTGTACGAATATGATCGAAGATGAGTGGTCTCTTTTAACGATTCCTCTGTATGATTTTCTTTTCTCTCTTTTTCTTTTTTCGAATTAAATCCGCACCTGTATAAATAACAATCGATCATCGAAAAGATAAATGAAATAAGAGATAAGATCGTATCTCGACTTAAACTGACGCCATTTAACAGACATTGGCATTCTTTTTTCTTATTTTTCTTTTCTCTCTCTCTCTTTCTCTTTCTCTTCCTTTTGGTGAAAAGTCGGGGAGAATTGAAAATCGACATTCGAGCTTACGAGCAATGTATGTAATTTTAAAAATGTCAAGATATGATAGAATTATTTAATTACGTTGTTTAAGATGTAAGAGAAGATTCTTCAAGGTTTTTTGTATATATATATATATATATATATATATAGTACCAAAAAAAAAGTGCCAGTGGTGATTTTCAAAATCAATAATTTTTTCTTGAGATTTTGTAAGCTAATCTCTTTTTTTTTCTTTTTTTTTTTTCTTCTTCAAATTTTTAAATCACAAGCATAACTTGTTAAAACTACAAGACTAACTACAAACTTAAAAAGGCTTGAAATAGAATAATTGATTTTTGGTATAGCCTATGAACTTTTGGCCCAGTCTGTGTATATATATATATATATATATATATATATATATATATATATAAATAGAATTGTATATATAAATAATAATGTTCATTTCGATATTGCATTGGCTTCGTGCTTGCCGAATTATTTGAAATCTTTTATTAATTACTTTAACTTTTTTTTGCTATTTTATATCTTCTTTTTCTATCTTTTTTTTTTCGTTTCTTTTTTTTTCCTTATGAATTCACATAAATTATAAATAACTTAATAATGAACTTTTAAATATCACGAGATATTTATATATAAGAACATGTACCTCGTGTTAGTCTTGATAATCATTGATTTAAATAAATCACATTCCAAACTTAGCGATATTAAGGATAGATTAAGTTAGATTTAAATAAACGTCAAATTAATTAAGTAAAAATATTAAAAAGGATACAAACAAAATGTTTTTATCTTTGAAAATGAATACGATACAAGCCATTACAATGCAATTTATATTAGTAGCACTGTTGGACGGATCATAAATATATTGATAATCTCATTGACAATGATCTCTTCGATGATATCATTGAAAATAATCAATATTTTATGAAGAAAGTCAATGCGTTTTTCTAAGGTGATTTTTAAGGTAATGTCTATGTTGACATAATGGCCGGATAGAAAGCAATAGTATATATATATATATATATATCTCATCTATAGTAATTATATAATTAATAAATCCATTATTATATGATAGAGATATGATTCATCAAATGCAGGCGTTTGTCAGATAAAGTTATAAAATCCCATAAAGTAAAAATATGAGGAATAATATTCTAAATACTACATTACAATGTGATATTTCTATATTAAAACATTATACGAAACAATATACTTGTTGTTTTCGATTTTGTACAGTTATTTAAATATTCATACCAGGGATAACTTCTTTTTTTTTTCCAATGCCATAGTACAGTGGTACGCAAATTATTCATACTTGCGACATCACTATGATTTATTTCATTTTATATTAGTTTATGTAAGAATAGTGATAATATAATTTTTATTTGTATGTTAAAAGTTAAAAGAAAAAAAAAAAAGAAAAAAAAGAAAAAAAAAAGAAAAAAAAAAAAAAACAATTTACTATTGCTATTATACGTAATATTCATGAAAATTTCATTAATTCATAGTTTGCGCGCCACTGCCATAGAATATCAGACCATATTAGTTTATTTTGTAAAACGCATAGTCCATTTTGTATAGAAAGTGTTTCAATTGCTATATTGTTAATTTCTTGAACGTATAAAATATAGAAACGTGTACTCCTAAATCATAAACATAAATCCATTAGTTTTAGATTGCTATAGTAAATTAAGTAAATTTTGTATTTTTGTACGAAAAGATTTTACGAACGTTGACTTTTGTAAGACATAATGATTCAAATATAGAATTAAAAAATGCTTTGTTCATTGTGTCTGACAAATGTATGTCCATATGGTACGCAAGTTATTTTATGACTCAATATGAATCATATATTTTATTATATATGATTAAGGTATATATTAACATTACTTAGCTATGGGTTGTGAACTAGACGTTACCATTTTCCATTGCCTGAGTCTTTTCAATATTGTTAACAGTTCAATGGTTGACTGATTTCGTACAAGAAATGTAAATAAACTTTTTATTTGTTATTTAATAACTATAAGCATTTGTATCTTTAAATAAAGGGATATGTGATTTTTAAATTAAGCAGCCTCCTCATTTCTTCTCAATCCTATATAATAGAACTACACACTATTCCCTGTCTAAATAATAAAAAAAATTATTGAACATTCTTTGTTTCGTCAAATTTTCAAATATATCACTTTTCACTTTCTGATTTAATGTATCTTTTGATATGTATATATCTGTTATTGTATAATCTCAATATAAAAATATTAATAAATGATTTTCCTAGTATTAATAAGATATAAAAAAAATAATCTCCTTCTAATTTTACTAAAATAAAATCCCTATACATACAATATGCATGCTAATTATGTTTGCTAATAATCTATTGGCTATCAATTATATGTATATTATATATATTTAAATAGTTAGAATTAATTTAACTCATAATCAGTACGTTTACGTTTCTTAAGATTTGCAGCTACTTCTGATGTTTCTATAATACCAGTACCTTTTTTTAACCATTCGTTTAATTGTACCTTTGCTTTCCTACTAATTAAGAACAAATCTTTTTCTAATCTAGGAAGCTGACTACCCAATGTCAGATCTGAAATAGGATTCTGTGCCCAATCCATGATTAATCTGAATCGACATTTGAAGGTCTGAAAGTTAAAAAGAAATAGGAAAAAAAAAAAGAAAAAAATTCCTTTGAATTTAATTTTATATTATAGAAATAATTAAACAGAGTGAAGTAATTTTTAACATGATATTATAAATTAGTAAAGTTATACCAAAACATTAGAGAGAGAGAGAGAGAGAGAGAGAGAGAGAGAGATCAATTTTAATGTTTTTATATGTTAATTTTGTTTACTTACCTCTAACAAATTCTCTGTTAATTTTTCACTTTCTCGAATATTAAAGGTTCTTAAATACATTCCTACTTCATAAAAATGAGGATTCCATTTGCTCAGTGATACTGCGCATGCATCTGCTTGAAGAATTTCTCTGCGTGCAGAATGTAGATATTGAGGTTATAAATATTTATTTATATATATTTTTCTATTAAAAATCATAGTCAATTTAAAAATTAGGTCTTTATAATTCACTCATATAAATGTACAAACCTATAACTATCTTTATATACTTTTGGTAATTCTATGTTGATGAGTGATCCTTGTATTATATTAAGTGGATGAGTTAACCAAACAGGAAATTCTAGTTTTGTTCCTTGTTTTAAATCATCTGAATCATTAGAAATATCTAAAAATCCTGAAAAAAAAGAAATTATATTAATACAAAGAAATCAAAGATTTCAATATTCCGAATTAAATCTAAATAATTGTATTGAGGTTAAGTTTATTAAAAATTTACCTAAACCAGGAAGTGTCACGTCAATCGTACATAATATACGTTCTTCCGTTGCTAAAATATCGTTTATAGAAAAATAATCTGGAACGTAACTACAGCATAACGACATTTTTAATAAAAACACACGAAATATAAAAGAGACGAGACAACTGAACCCATCGAATAAAATAAACACTGACGACGATCATTTCCCGCCTTTGATGTATCTGACACTACGTTAATCAAAATCAAAATACAAATATGTCAAAATTATATTATTTTAGATAAAATAAAAACGAAATAATAACCAAAACGAATTTTTAATAAATTATATACATATTTATATATATATATATATTAACAATTGTAATAATTCAATGTGTAATAATTTAATAAATTAATTTAATGTACTTCGTTATTATTACATATAGTCACGTGCTATTTAAACGCGGTTAAATTCAAAAGTGCGTACAATTGGGAAAACGATATAAAGACGTATAAGAAAAAAAAACCCACGATATTCTTTTCATTATTAGTTTATTTCGATATTTTAAGATGTATGGACAATTATTACATAATAATTTTATATAATGAGATTTTCCTTTGGTGGTAATTTTTGTAACATTCCACGGTGTATCATCTTTTGTTTTCCCCTTTTCTCCATCGTTCTCACTCTATCTCTCTATCTCTCTCTCTTTCTCTCTCTCTCTTTCTCTCTCTCTCACTCTCTCGCTCTCTCTCTCTCGCTCTCTCTTTCTCTCTCTCTCTCTCTCTCTCTCTCTAATAATATTCATACACAACATCACTCTTTCACGAAAAAAGAAATGAATTAATGTTCATTAAACTATGAATGAATCATGAAATACGTGCGCTCTTGGTTATTGATCGTCAATTAAACATTATTATTCTTTATCATTACCAATACATTATAATCATTAAGTTTACCATTAATCATTACGATTACGATATAACGCTATTATTAAATCCTCCCATTCGCTTTACTGCCATTCATGTTTTTTTTTTCTTCTTCCTTTTTTTGTTTTTTTTTTCGCATCATCTTCATTGTTTTTCCTTTTCTTCCTTTTTCTTTTCTTTTTGTTAATCATTTTTTTTTTCATTTTTTTTTTATTTATTTATTTATTTATTTATTTCATTCGTAATGATAGAAATTACGTTTATCGTACAAGTATAACGGCGAACGTGTTGTATGTCCAGATCAAAAATCTAGACTAGATTGACGATCGACGATCGGCCTTTCTCTCTCTTTTATTTTTTTTTTTCTTCTCTTTTCGTTTATTTATGTTTTTTTTTCTTCTTTTATTCCTTTAAATAACGCGTCGTCGCCAGATTTGGTAGAGTAAAAAGCGCTTATGTAGTTACGTAGGTCTTAGCAAGAGGTCTAGGATGAGACCCTTCGAAATTGCCAGATATCGCTATCCTTTTCGAAACATCCCTTTTCTCTCTCTCTCTCTCTCTCTCTCTCTCTCTATCTCTCTCTCTGTCTTTCTGTTTCTTTCTCTGTATGTGTGTGTGTATGTGTGTTATTTTCTTTTTATTTTATTTTGTTCTTCTTTCTCTTTTTCTCCCGTATTCTTTTTTATTTTCTTATGGATATTTAAAGCGAGTTGCGCGCGCGAACTCCCTTTTTTTTTTTATTCCTCTCTTTCTTCCTCTCGTATGTGCTACGAGACGAAATAATTTGTGATTTCTTTCTTGGTGGTTTTGTCTTTTTTTTTTTCCCCCTTGTTTGTTGTTGTTTATTGTTATTATCGTGTGTTTTTTTTTTTACGATTAATACGATCGACTCTCGATAATTCATATCTTGTTCCCTAATTAAAACGGAATTCGATCGATTGATCGATCGATCCATCGATTGATCGAATTATACCTTCTTCCTCTTTTTGGTATTTTGAAAATAAGAAGAAAAAAAAAAAGAAAAAAAAAGAAAAGAATAAATTCGGATCTCATGATGTAAGATTTTTCGAAAAATGATTTTTCGAGTTTTCACGTATTTTTTTTTCCTTTTTTATCACGCACAAGAGAATTTACGATCGATTCATTTTTATTCGATAGATCGAATCTCGATTGTCCGTAACGACAATGCATATGTATGTGTATCTATGTAGATAATTACGACCAGTTTGCTCGATATGAAGCCAAGTATATCTTTCTCTTTCTAGTTTTTCTTTTTTTCTTTCTTTCCTTTTTTTTTTTTTTCTTTTTTCTTTCTCTACCTTAGCCTCTGTCGTATTTATTATTTATTATTTTTTTTATCTTTGCGTGTTCGTGCGTAACGTTAAATATTTTATATTTTCTTTATTTCTTTTTTTTTTTTTTGTTTTCGTTTTTTGCCTCGATCGAAGGAACGATTATCACGTTGACTTTTACGATCTAATCGAACGTGTTCGACAATCGGTGATATTATGATGCTTAAGTTATTACAATATTATCGCGATGTGAGATTTCATTAAAAATCTAATTCTAGAAAAACGATCGCGCTAATAAATAAAGGGCTAGTACAAAATTTTGGTTTCATTTGTCGTTTAAAGGTCAACGTAAGTACGTTCCATTGTCGTACGATAAACAAATTCCCTCAAATTTCTCTATATCTCTTTATATGTCTGTCTCTCCGTTTTTTGTCTCTTATTTATATGCGTGTTTGTTTATTCGTCGTATTATTTTCTCAACTTGTCAATATGAACACGACGACAACAGAGTTTAATCCTTGAAGAAATTTAAATACGTGCGAATAGTGCGAATAGTTTACACGTTGCATATGCATTTATGTATATGTATATGTATATGTATATGTATATGTATATATGTAAGTAAGACATATAAGTACTTACGTACAATTGTATGTATGTATGCGTGTATGCATGTATATATGTATACATGTATGTATGTATATATGTATGTATGTTTTATGTACGTTTCTTTTTTTACAGCATTACATCGTTTTTTACTATGCACGCTACGCGCCATCATTTTACCGCCCATTCTTTTCACGTTTGGTATATGCAGTATTATATTTCATCATTTAATTTCCTCGTTTCTTTTCTTTTCATTTTTTTTTCTTTTTTCTTTTTCGTCTTTTTTTATATATATATATTTTTTTTCTTTCTTATTTTTGTCTTCTCCATTTCCATTGAGCGTTGACTATGTGACTAGACATATTATGTATATAAATATGACTTAGGTGTAATATAATTATAATATATATATATATATATGTATACATATATACATATACATGTATATATATACATATACGTGTGTATATATTTATAATATTTATATATTACTTATGACCCTCTCCCCCCCTCTTTCTATGATAAACTTTTACGGGCTGTTCGTAATTTAGCTAATTTTATAATAATATGGCAACCATGGTGATAATTAATAATACTATATATATATATATACATATATATATATATATATATATATATATATTTCGACTACTAAAAAATTCTACATAGCAAAAAGTTATGGGTAACGACGGATAGTAAGAGAAGAAATATAGAAAAGAGAAATAAAGTTTCGTTGGAGGAAAGATAGAGGTGAGATTGAAATAAAAAAAAAATAAAAAAAGAAAAATAAAAAAGAAGAAAAAAGAAAACGGAAAACAAGAAAAAGAGAGAAAAAAATTGATGAAAGGAAGAATGAAAGAAGAAAGAAATAATGGAAGGTTAGAAAGTAAGAAAAAGAAGAAAAAAAAAAAGAAAATGAAATAAAAATCGAACGATAGATCGATCGATCGATAGTTAAACAATTAATAAAGTTCAAGTAGAAATACATATGTAAGCCAATGGAAAAAATAAAAAAAATAAAAAAAATAAAAAAATAAAAAAAAAAAAGAATGGAAAAAAAAGTTTCCTTACATTTTTGAAATAAACGAGAGAATTATTCTCTCTCTCTCTCTCTCTCTCTCTCTTTCTCTCCCTCCCTCCCTCTCCCTCTCACTGTATATATATCGGATAATATATATATAACTATACCTAAGCGTAAACTTATCAGAATAAAAAAAAAAATAAAAACATTTGCTATGCCATCGATGCGATCTTATTTATCGATAATAACGAGAAAAAAAAGATTAATCGATAAATAATAAATAATAACTGATCGAACTCAAGTCTCGTGTCACCCAACCTCCTCCTTCTCCTCCTCCCTTTTCACCTTTCCAATCAATCCTAGCATCCCATATTTCGATAAAAACTCGAACGATATTCTTCGATCTTGCGTATTTTCTTTCTATTTATTCTTCTTATGTTTTTTTTTTCTTTTTTTAATCGGGCACACCTTATTTTTCTTCTCCTCCTCCTTCTTCTTCTTCTTTGCAAATCTTTTGTATGACCGATGAGATAAACACGGTCTCAAGCAAAAGGCTCACACCAAGAGATACGACGAAATAGATAAGACACGGGTGAGCCGATGGGAATGTTTTCTTATTTTCATTCAATCTTTTTCTTTTTCCTTTTTTTCATCTTCAATCTGATTTATTCACCTTTGTATTCTTTTTTTTTTTTTTTATCAACGCCGTCTTTTTCCCTCCTCTACCTTTTCTTTTCTTTTTTGTTCTCTCTCTCTCTCTCTCTCTCTCTCTCTCTCTTTTTCTTCGTTTTCTTTCTTTTTACTTTTTTCTTCTTTTTCTTTTTCTTTTTTTTTCTTTCTTCCATCAATAAAACATGGAATGTCTTACGGAGATGTATGCGCGAAACGAATCGAGAAACGCGAAACGAGAAAGGAGAAAGAAAATATTCTTCTTTTTTCATTCTCTGTTTGCAAATAGAATGCACGACATGATACTTAATCGATGTTATTTAAAAGGAAACCATTTGTTATGAACAAATTTTAATGTCTAAGGGAAAGAGTTCAAGCAAAGAAGAAAAAGAAAGAGAGAGAGAGAGAGAGAGAGAGAGAGAGAGAAAGAGAAAATTAAATAAATAAATAAATAAATAAAATGAAAAATAAAACAGTAAAATATTGTTCCAGTACGTGAAAGAAATTTTTTTACTTTTTTTTTTTTATATGAATAAGTTTTTGTTCTCTCTTTCTCTCTTTCTCTCTCTCTCTCTCTCTCTCTCTCTCTCTTTTTCTTTCTCTCCATCTATCTTTAAACTCTTTCGTTACTACTGTTCGATCGTAAATGCCAACTAACCAAAAATATTTCGTCCTCTTAACCTCTGGTGAACTCTAACGATTTATAAAACGACGTCCA